AAGGGAGATAACAATATGTTTTATATGGAGATTTTAGTATCAAAAACCTACAGTAAGTGTGGCAGCTAGATAAGGAACATTCTAGTTATTCTATAAGCTAATGAGCGTAATATTCCGGTAAAACAAAATCCCAATGTAAACAAGACCTCATCTACGTTACCCAATCTTGTACAGTTAGTACATAAGCACACATCTTTATCGCGACGATAACGCAACGAGATCAGGCTTGATAACGTCGATAACAACGTACAATAGGAAACTGAAATCTTCTAACATATAGCACAAATATTTGCAAAGTTTTAAAGTAACTTTTTTAATTAAAATGTTTGTATTTTCCTATACTAAGCTTTTACAGCAATTTCTACATACTTATTTGTTTTAAAACACAATAAGTTAGGATAAGGCGAGGTGGGACGACCGCTCAAGGTGCCGGGCATGAGGGGGCACCGCAGGGAAGTTGGACATGCTCCTTTACATCCACGACACCAAAAAAAAGGAAATTATGAAACTGGAACATGTATATTAAATAAAAATCTATAACCTTACTGAATATGGAAAGAATGAACTATGAGTTTACACTGCCGAAACAATTATACAAAAACATCTTTCAATCTTTCTCTGTATTTGAAAAAAAAAACAGAAATGTATTTTTGGAAAATTCTGTCGGCAATGGTAACTGATGTAAATTTTGCAGAGGCGGTATGAAAGGTACATACATAGTGGGTGAGATGATTTTTTAATAATTAAATAACATAACTACCACTATTCCGATAGTCGTATCTGTAAATGGACTGATAGCGAAGAGCTTCGACCAACATCTCAAGAAGCTCTCCCTACACAGTTGGATTAAGGGTCCGATACAAAAGGCAGTTATCCTAGAAACCGCGCGCATCTTGAGAAGGTTCCTGTCTCTGCAGCCCTGACCACTGGTTGTTTGAATCATGGGATTCCGCAGCCGGTGATGTTCTGTTTTTAATATAATATGTTTTGTATATATATATTTTTTTGTATATGAAATGAACTATATTAAAAAATGATAAATATATGGATAAAAGTAAATGGATTTAAATTTTTTATCTTTTCTTTTTTTTTCATCACCTTAAGTATCATTCTGTTTATCTTTTAGTAAACAATATATTAGTTAATTTATAAAGTGCAGTATAGTTGAATCACTACTAGGTAAGCTTTGATTTAATGCACTACTCAACTAATAACAATCACCTGTCACCTGTCATGAATTATCTATTAATATTTATCTTTCTACGAATCGTTGGGTGGTATTCTGATAGCATTCGTTACCTGCATAAAATTTCTCATATGTAACACAGAATATGTCACTTTATTTTTCGCCTTCCTTCCGCAAAAGTGGAATTACGGATCAATCAAACGTGATGTTTATACCAGGTCACAAAAATGGTGAACTATTTGTTAATCTTTGAAATAACTTTAGTTGTCACTAAAACTAGTATTAAAAATAAACTACAACAATTCGCACAAAAAATATATCGATAAGATTAGAATAGGGACCAATAAGTAATCGATTGAACAGATAATTAATAATGATTTCATTAAATTGATAAGATTGTTTCTTTCATAGTGAAGCGAAATGCTGACGCGTATATGATGGAATTCGTGAGACTTTTGTTTGTTTGTTTAGTGTTCTACCAAGTTGATTCTACAAGTATTTTGTGTGAAGAAGGATTTTGTAGAGTGAGTACTTCAACATTCTATGAATTAAATTATTACTGAGAAACATGGTTGAAGGCAAATAAAATTGTATTGTTGGATTAATTCAACTACAAAATATCTTGCGGTAATTTCTAGTAAAACAGAAACGTATTAGAGTTAAGAGAATTGGTGTATATAAATGATTGCATATTAATCAATAATTATAACCTGGACATAATTTTAATTCGTGCGTATGTTTTCTTTTGTTTATTTGTGCTTAACCCTTAATGCGACGAAATTTTTTGTAGCAAAAAAATTGTTTCTTTTAGTAAAGTCATACTTACATACGTAATTTTCTCTAAACTAGTTCAGTAGATTTTTTTTAATTAGTTGTTCGTCACACTGGACACCATCGAATTAAGGATTAATTTAACTTAATTGTAAAGTTGTCAAGCAAAATGTGTAAACAAAGAAAATGCGCAATTTTTATGACAGGCGTTAGTTGATATCTTGATAAAATTAGTCTGTCGTAGTATTTGTTTTAGAAAAATCTTTATGATAGACAAATGTTTATTATTTATATCATTACTTTATAACGTAATCTCCAGAATCACAGATTCAAAGAAGGGTGCTCCACACCAGCGCACGAATGCCGGATAAACAACGCAACTCACACGGGCTTGTGGCTACCCTCTCCCACCATTTGCAACTGTTGTGAATACTGCTTGCCATTTTATGGTAAAAGTTTAATTATTATAAAGATGCTTGGTACTGTCCATTCTCTATAAAACTCCTCTGTATAAAAAAAA